AAATCAGTATTTTTAAAACATGATAATTACGTGGCAGATAAAAAAGAAACAGCTGCATTAAGCATCTTCAAATAAGACTTAAAAAAAGGAAAGTCACTTCCTCTGTCCTTACTCTTTCTTGCACACAGAATGCATACAGTGATATGATACACAGAGCTACTCAATGGCCAAATAAATTTCTTCTAATTTAAATGTGTGTACTTTTCTAATATTCAAAATATTGGCCTATTTAAAGATGTGCCTTTCATCACTGCTACTTTTGTATACCTTATTAAATACAATTAATAGCTGTATTAGCTGTGGCAGTTTATCTGGAGTGAATGAAGAAAAGAAATGCAAAGAAAATGGGCAGAATACAGCTGCTTCTTGGAGAGTGCTGTAGTCTTCCCCAGCTTTGTTGTGTTTTCTCTTATTACTTCATTTGATCTCCAAATGCATGCCAAGAACAAACCTTTCCCATTACAAAAACGTATATGGACACAAGTAATTTCAACTCACCTGGAAGACTATTATTTGCCCTATTTTTAGCCTGAAGACGTAACTAATCACATTACTGGACAGGCTTTTATTTTCAAAGTGATGGCTTTGGAATAAAGAACTTCCCTGTAAACAGCAAGTGAGAGCTGCCTCTACCAGGCTTCCGCTGTGCTCCATCTCCCTCCACACCACATTCCTCAGATCACCACATTATTTCAGTGTCTCATCTGTAAGCACTGTGCTAGTGACCCCTACTGCCTCTCTGCTTTTAGGGTGCTCCTGCACCTTGCCAGGAAGTCCTCAGTGGCACCTAAACTAAGCTAATTCAATCGTGCTGTGCCCCTAAGGCACACAGCTGTTATTCAGGCCCATACTGAAGGCTAGAGCACCACAGTGATATTCACAAGCAACTGGTGGAGTGTGAAGCTGCAGGGCCCAGTCTCTGTGATCCCTAAGCTGCTGCTAGGCAAGACACTGTTAGTGCAGGTCACAGGTCTCCTCACCTCGACAATTTTCAGCAGTGAATTTCTCCAGCTGCACTCTGATCCAAGATAATATGATTGATTAGGTTGATACAGAGCAGTATAAAATGTATGCCTTCAATGGTGGGATACACAGTATTTCTTCTCTCCTGATTTTTTACGCCATTCTTCCAATCTATAGCTTTGGCAGAGAATCAGCCATGCAACCCTAAAACAGCTTTCAGATTTTGGAGTATTTACACACTATAAAATCAAAGCAATATCAACACATAGTTTCTAATAGTGGGAGAAAGTTTGAAACTTAACCATGCTTGCAAGGACTGTGTTTCCTCTGTCCCAGAAGCAGCCCAAACGCTGTGGGTGGCTCCAGTGTGATGGCATATTCTTACCCTTTAGCAAAATCCTGATTCTGACTACAAGGCAAAGAAAGAAATCAGGGGAGTTTACATAAAACAAGGTGGAAGAAGAGGCTTGCATGTGAAAACATTTTTAAAAGATCTTTGAGAAAAGCAGCAAAATTGTCTTCCAGCTCTTACAGGGCCAAAATATGGGTTTTCTGAGGCTGATAATGCTCATAGGCTATAACAACATTTGAGAAACTGCACTGCAGTTCACGTGATAGCAGGGGAAATCTGAAAAAACCCACCAAAATATGCAATTAGAAAAACATAACTTTTCCAGCCTAAAATTGCTAAGTGGTAATGCGACCTCTGCAAATACTGATCTAAGAACCCTGTTTTAGCAGAAGCAACATATTTTTAATAAAATATATACTTTAAAAAAAATCAGATGCCACATAGACAATGGGTTTTTGTAATTATTTAAATTCCAGCACCATTCTTGCCCAGCTAATGCAATCTCAATTTTTCTTTTTGTCACTGTATTTGTAGGATAAGTCAATATATTGAAGAAGAGAGGAATTTCTCATGTTATCATCTTTCTGGATGTATGTTGGTTTTATCTATTATGATTGTCACACCCTTTGGTTTGCAGGGTATTTATGTCTTCACACTTCCACTCAGAAAGTCAGTAGGGAATTCAAAAATTTGGTTATATCTTGTACTGGGCAGCCCCTGACACTGTCTTTCTTGGTCCAGCAGCCCCCTCTACTCTTTTCCTCCTACATTTCGGAAGTGCAACCAACCATTCCGTTTTTAAGGAAGAAGAATTTTTGCAGGTCCAACCCTGACACCCAGTGGCCTCTGCAGTTCCAGCTCTTACAGCTTCCCAGCGTCTCCGTCTATTGAATCCTGGCTTGAAGGGACACGGTGTTACTCTCCAAATAGATAATTACAGCACTAAAATCAACACATTTATGTGATTTACATAAGTAAGCATCCATTATTGTATATTCTGATAATGATACTTAATGGTATTCAGTACAAAAACCTTGACATATCTGAAAATGCTACTTTTTCAAGAATCCTAGTCATACAAGCATTCCCACTGAGCAATAATTCTCTCTCTATATATCTGCATCTCCTTTCACCCACTCATTTAGTATTCCTCTAAACCTGAAATGAAAGTGCCCTAGGGCAGGCATTCATTTTGTAAAAAAATAGATCTAACAAGAAAAAGAAGGCCCAGCAACAGATTTTATTTTTGTATAGAATAAGAAATGAAGAGAAAATGAATATAATTGAATATGATTCTTGAAAGCTAGCAGAGGAAACTCTTTCTTTTTAGAGTGAAATTGAAGTTAAGTAATTACTTGCAAATAATTGTCGCTTGCCTGTCAGCTGGAAATTCTACTACCTATTTTTTCTTCCTTGAATTAGTAAGCTTGTCTGGCAGACTCAGAGGTTTTTGAGCAAAGCCAATATAGAGTGAAGTTTTTGTGTGTTTTCTCAGAGCTCTGGACGCCTGAATGCAGCATTTTAATTTGGCCCAGTAACAAACTTGCTGAAAATGTCACACTCCCCAGTCAGGTTTGGGGGGTTCTGTTTCTTTGGTTTTGTTTGTTTGTTTTTGTTGGTTGGATTTTTATTGTTGTTTTGTTGTTTTGGTTGGATGGGGGTTTGTTGTGGTTTGTTTTGTTGTTGTTTCTGTTTTTAGTTTTGTTTGTTGTTGTTTTGTTGTTGTTGTTGTTTTTAAATGAGAACTACTACACCTGTTTAATTTAATGCAGTTATTACTCCTAGAAACTACAACATCTGCAAGAGATGGATAAGTTTCTGGGAATATTTTCTGCTCCAAAGACTATTTTAATCAATGCATCTCCTGGTTTAGAGTTTCCAAGAGGATAACTTCAAAACAGCTGTGAGGGCAGCCCTGTGTGTCACTGTGTTGGCACAGAACATCTATTAAAAGCTAGCATTCTTTCTATCCCACTCTTTAGAAAGATGCCGTTTAAAAAAGAAATGAAAGCTCTCCCTGGTTGAGAATATGTGTTTTTTGTGGTTTTTTTTTTTGTGTTTTTTTTTTTTTTTTTTTTTTTTTTGGTATGCCAGACAAAATAAAAACCTCTCTGAAAGCAACCACAGAATGCAGCTGCTGTATCCAGCTCTGTAATCTGCTTCCAGCTAAGTAAGCCTTGGTAGCAATGACTCAACAGACCCTCATAAAAACAACAAAAATAAAAAAAATTATAGTCCTCATTTAGCTCTTTGCACTGAAGGGTAAGGACACTTCAGAATGTTGTTTTTACATCCCTTTATATGGCCTTGGTTTTACAAGATGCTCACTTTTAAACAAGGGGCATAGAGTCAGCTGGGTTTTCACACAACATTTCTGAGGATTTCTTTTTGATTACAGGGCATTTACAAGGACAGGAAGAAATAGCTCAGTGTCCTATTGAAAAATTTCTGGCAATGTGTCTTTCCTATTTTAAAACAAATAATTAAAACCACTACTAGCATATGAAAGCATGAATCATTTCATGCATTTAAAACTTAACGTTATGTAAGCTCTTGAACAGAGCTGGAAAAAAACTATTTTGGTGGATGATAAAATTTTTTTCAAGCTTGACTTCGACCAAGACAGGCAACACAAGTTATATTTTCTGTGGGTTTAATATCTGCTTGTGAGTTTAACATTCAGATAAAATACTAGCTTCACTGTAAAAAGTACTTTTCAACATTAGTATTTAATTTTGACTTAAATTCCCTGACCCTCCTGGGTCTTTATCTTCCTGCCTGGGGAAGATAAACTCAGAGCTCTTCAACTTACAAAGGAACAGGAATGGGACATGCAGGACTTTCCTCAGCTGTATGTAGCAGAAGTAACCTCACCAAACTTCTTATTTTGGGAGGACCTGCAAATGCTGTGCCCTCTTCAGCCCTTTTCTAGGTGGACTTGCTTGAGAGTGACCACGGAAAGTGCTGCATGGCCCTCGCACCAAGCAAAGCGCTGACGAAAAGGGCGTTGTGCTGCTCTTGGCACCTCACGTTTTTTTTTTGTGGCAGCTTTTTCTTTCTCCGGAGCCAGGCTTCCCATGTCGCTTGTTTGGGAAGCAGCACCGAGTTGCGGTTCGTACAGAGCCAGTGCCAGGAGCTGGGATTAAACTGGGATTAAGCTGTGCCCCGAAGCCTGAGCCCCGGGGCTTTGCTTTCCCCTTTTCTGACACCTCCGGCCAGGAGAGACTTTTTGCTGTTGTTCCCCGTGATCCACTACGTGGGTATTTCCTAGCCAGATTTGACAGTGCACGTCCCTTGGATTCTAGGTGAATGGATCACTGTCAAAGCCGTATCTTTGCTTTACAAATCGACGGCAGGCCCGGGGCTTTACATCGAGGCTCAGCTGAGCACCTGCCTCAGCCTGGGGCCAGCCCCGCCCCGTGCTCGGAGCACGAAATGGCTCTGGAGCCCTTCCTCAGCCCTCACGTACGCGCTTTAAAATAACCCTGGGTGACACATGCCGGCCCGGCCTTGGAACTACCATTGCCTACTATGGGTCACCCAGCTGACGCGATCGGACCGAGAGTCAACTATTTTATTACGACAGCAATATTTACTTATGCCAAGGCTCGCCCCCCAGGGCGGTGTGGAGAGAAAACTACAGCTCCCGGCAGGCTCTTCCCGGCGCGCTCCCGTCGGGCACTGCGGCAGGAACAGCGGCGGGAAGCGCTGCTGCGCCCGCCGGAAAAGATCCCGGCGCCCAGAGCCGGCCCCGCCGCCCAGGCCTTTCCGCGCTCGGCCCGCCCGCCATCCCGCCTCGCCATGACGGACCGCTACACCATCCACAGCCAGCTGGAGCACCTGCAGTCCAAGTACATCGGCACGGGGCACGCCGACACCACCAAGTGGGAGTGGCTGGTGAACCAGCACCGCGACTCGTACTGCTCCTACATGGGCCACTTCGACCTGCTCAACTACTTCGCCATCGCCGAGAACGAGAGCAAGGCGCGCGTCCGCTTCAACCTGATGGAGAAGATGCTGCAGCCCTGCGGGCCGCCCGCCGACAAGCCCGACGAGTCCTGACCCTCCTCCTCCTCCTCCTCCTGATGCCGGCCGATTCTCCGCGCGGTTCCCGCGAAGGACTGACCGGGAGAAGCCTCGCAAAATGCCTGCCTCCGGACTCTGACTGTGCGGTCGTTCACCTTTTTTCAAGTGGAATATAATAAAGCTTCCTGGGCATTCCTGATGTTTGGTTTGGTAGTTTCCTATTGCGAGCTTTTTGTTCCCAGAGTGCAGAAAGTTTCAGTGCAACCTTCCGAGGTGAAAGTCTCGGATACAGCATTTTCCCGACCGGGCGGATTGATGCTTGCCTACAAAACTCGGTTTTGGGGGGAGAGAGGGGAACTTTGTTCGTACTCAAAGGGTTTGATTTCTTGGTAGCAGTAGTATGTGGGGTGGTTTAAAACTCCAAAATGGCTTTTCTCTAAACACTATTTTCTTGCCTCATTATTCATCTTTCCTGTACCTTCGGGGTTTTCAAACATCGATTATTTCTGATACAAATTAGCTACTTTCTCCACACCCCCCCCCCTTATGCTTACTAGAAACCTAGCATTCAAGTTTTTTCTCCCTTACATCAAAGATACTAATATTGGCTTGTGCCTTGTTAATATGGAATAAGAATATAAGGATTATTCACTACTTAGAAGTAAAATGCTTCAAGGTGACGCAGATCAGATTGCATACTGAACAGATATTGATTCTGATTTTTCACTTAAAATAGGCTTTCTATTCACTTAAAGTAAACATAAATTTTTACTTCTAATAGATGGAAAGACCTCAACCCAAAACAGTGAGATATGTTGCTTGAAGAAATAAAATGTTGTAATTTCTGTTATGTTTGTATTAACATTGGAGGGGAAAGTCCATCGTTTGTGGTCCTGTTAAGACACTATGGGTTATCAGTGATTATTCTGTGAAATCGGCGATCTCGAATCAGTACATCCATCTTCTGAAGAATTCAGGTGGCATTTTTCAAACTTTGCTGCACATGGTAAATGAGGGCATGGGTGAAGCAGTCAGAAAGACATTTTACCTGCAAGTTTTGTGGGGAACTATTTCAGTTCACAGTAAATAAGGGGAATATGTAGAAAACTGATTTTCAATTTGTCTGCAGGCTCGTGCAGGTAATTTGAAGAGCATCTGTTCCGCACTCACTGGGAAGCACGACTGAAAGTTTTCTGTAACTTGAATTCAAGCACTTAGGCATAGGTATGCAAGGCAGTCCTGCAAAGATTGGGCAACATCTACATCTAAATAAATCAAGTTTCCCGTTCAGTTTAACAGTTCCTGTTACAATCTGCTCTATTGCCAGCTCTTAGAACCTTGCCTTCCATAAAGCATCTCCTCAGCAGCCAGCTGGTGTGTGCAACACCAGGGGGTGACAAAGGAACTTGAGCCTTACTGCTGGGCCTTGGCAGCTGGAAAAGTTGGGCTGAGGATAACAGGTGCCTTTGTAATGGTTTGCAAGCTGAATTTGCAACGTTTTGTGAAGTCTTGAATCTCCTACAATAAGGATAAACATAAGCCATGCAGTTTAATCACTCCTACATAAATTAGAACTTGAAACTGTTTCACAGGAGATTTCTCTGACCATAAACTAACAATGAACTCTATCTGTGGATATTCTCAGCACATTTTAAAATGTGAGCAACAAATATGTGACACATAAAGATTAATGCTCTTTTGCTGGCCAGCTGTTCACTGTAAAGGCCAAACAGCCCTCAGGGACAAGTGAAGATTTATGTGGTGAATGAACTTGCTAGTTCTTCTGGTTATACTTGCTTGAATCCCTGTTAGGCACATACCTCTGTTTTAGCATGGTTGAAAGATGTTTTTAGAGTGTCTGTACTAAGTAATTATTATGAAACATTATAAACACTTCCTTAAGAAATTGAGAAAACGAAAGGAAAGTTCCAATTCCTAAGAATTCTAGATAAACTTGAAGTGAATTGGGAGACACTGAGGAGTTTGTTTCTGGATGATGGTATTTTTCCTAAATCCCTGAGCTTTTAAAAACCCAATAAAGGCAGTGAATTCTTTTACATTTTATTACTAAAAAGGGTAAAACCTACAAAGAACAGAGTTAATTACCTGCCCTATTGGGATGCATCTGATTTTTATCTCTGTCCTGATTGAAAGATGACAGATACCATTTATAAATCGACTTGACATTTGCATTATGTTCCTTTTACATCCAAGCAATATGGTTTTTAATGAAAAAACACGTGGATACTTAAAAAGTTTGATAAAGCTTTCCAATAGAAAAAAAGTCATAGGTTTTTTCAGTGAAATAATTCTGAAGTTCCAAGTGTGTATTACACCTTTTTTCACAATGAGTGAATAGAACAGCATGGGAATCCTAGCACAATTCCATCATTCTATTGCTCAGAATACCTTGATTTTTTGTTTATTTTCTGATTTATCAGAATGATAGCACGCCAGTAGTTAACATTGGCAAGGTGCAGCCATTGCACTAGTGAGCAGTTTTCTGCAAACTGTAAAACTTGGGCCAATTCTTTCATTTTAGTCATGTTCAGCATAAAACTCAGTTGCTTTGATCATTTGTATATATTTGACTTTCATAGATGATAACATTTGTAGTGTCTGTTTTAGCATCAGGATTTTACTTCAGCGCATGAGATAATTCCTTTTAAAAGATCAGCTATTTTAAGCAACACTGTCTTTTTCCCTCTTCACCACAAATCAATTAATGCAAAAGCAGCACAACTGGTTTCTGAATCCTCATTGGAGTTCTGTTGGTTCTGTAATGTACCACTAAGTCCATTGATTTTTTTTACTAAAATGAAAAAAAACCCACAAACATCATCCTTCCCTCACAAGACCTGTTTGGCTTCATGGTTGTTTTTTGGTTGTTAAAATTTAATCATACAGTATTTAATTTTAGTACTGTTGTTATAATACATCCATAAATGTATGCTCTATGCACTTTTTACTGCCCTGGTGCTAGCTTAATTGCCCCAAAGAACTTAGTTACTTTTAAAATGGATTAAACTGGCACATTGCTGCAAGTTAGACAATCTTGTTTGAAAATCCTATTAAAGTTCCTTTATTCTGTGTCTATTTGCTATTTTTCTTCTATATTAGTCTCTCTGTTAATTTCAGTCATATATGATTTGGGAAAAAAACCCTTGGTAATATAATACAGTTCACTGCATTATTTGTTGCCTTTTGAAACTGAGCCATCATTCTATGCTATCATGAAGAAATGTGTAAGGATGCTGACATACCTGAATGCTTCTGACTGCTCTAAAAATAGAATTAGAATAACGTTTTTTCCCGGGTTCAGAATTTCACCATTTTTCAATCTCATTTTCATACCAACTTGCTAATTACTTTTATAGGAACAATCACAAAATATGTTGGACTTTCCCTTGTAACATCTACCAGAATAGTGCCTGACACAAATAGTTCACACCTGGAATTTAGTTTGAAATCCCCATCAAATGGCTGGAATCGTCCACCTCAGATACATCTACTTAGACTAAGTGATTTTTGTGAAAAAGAAATTTAGTCCAAAAAATTGGTACTTTGATCAGGGATGAATGGCAGTTCAAACTTCTTGTAAGTTGCAAAAAAAAAATAAAAAAATCAATTTTGAGATGATACATGTGAAATTAGAATTTTAAAGCATGTAAATTACAACAGCCTTTACTCAGAATCAAGAGAGGTGTGGTTGCCCCATGTGTTTTTTTGCTGGACAGTTGGCTTAGAAGCTCTCAGAGTCTGATGCCTCACAGGTAATGCTGATATTGGTGCTTGTGGGGCTGCAGTGTAAATCTCATTGCTGAAATGGATTTAGGATTAACTTGCAAAGGTTTGTAAACATCCTACAAAGCCCTGTGGTTGCATTTAATGTTTCTCTTCTCCCATCAGGTTTATAGCTTGGCCTCACGTGGCACTGGCATAATTGAGCAGTGAGCTTCTGTGAACAGACGGGGAATAAACAACTGGATGTGAAAATGTCTTAAGTTGCATTTGCCCAGAAACCTGTATGTTTTATATTCTGAGCCAGAAGTCATTACAATCTGTGCAGAAGCTATGGACTACTAACCTGCAGGCTGCTGCATGATTTGCTGCATGCACAGCTGAGCACACGTGTAAAGCCCAGAGAATCAGAATTAAACATGATCACAGTGCACAGCTGAGCAGACATCAGCTGGTATAAACAAACAAGTTTTGCATTTTCTCATGCTTGAATAGCATGTAAGCAATGTTCTTTTCATACAGCATTAAAAGAAATTGAATGTACTTTCTAGTTTTTTTTTTTTTTTTTTTTAAAGGGGTAATATAGTTACTAGCCTGATACATGATTTTCCAATCATGTATCATCAACTACACTAGATCCTCCAATTTTTAGTATGCATCATAGACTGAAAATTTATTATTTTGATTAGTCTGAGCTATAGAATTAATGGAGAAGCCAGGGATATTTAGAGGATGTAGAATGTTTTTTAAAATATAGTTTTCCAGAAACAAGCAGTGAGCTTCTAATATCATGTTCAGGATGAAGATAAAATTAGTTGAATTTGAAGCGTATTTCTTCATGTACTACCTTTTCCAGTGATAGCATGGCCCCAGTGTTTAAGTATTCATCTTACTGTTTTGATAAGATTTCCTAGAGGAAAAAGAAACATTAGGAAACTGGTGACTTGAACAGTTACTGTCCTAATAACATTGGAATGAAAAGTCAAGGAGGAAAATAAAGCAACGTCTTTCATCCTGTGCCAGTCCATTTTTGTGGGGGAAGAGAAGCTGAAGGGGGCTGATAAGAAAGGTAGGGATGGACTGAAAATCAGGGTCTGTTGTGGTAGAACAATGGTTTTAAACTGAAAGAAGGTAGATTCAGACCAGGTTTAAGGAAGACATTTTTTTCTATGAGAATGGCAAAACACTGGAACAGGTTTCTCAGAGAGAAGGTTATAGATGCCTCATCCATGGAAGGGTTCAAGGCCAGGCTGGATGGGCCTCTGAGCAGCATGGTGGAGGTGAAGATGTCCCTGCTCATTGCAGGAGTGTTTGACTAGATGACATTTAAAGGTCACTTCCAACCCAAACCACTTTCTGATTCTATGATTCTAATGTGAGTGGGAAAAATCTCGTCTTATCAAAGTATCATAGATGGTACCTTTCAAACTGAGCGAAATAAAGGGTACTCTGTTTTGC